ATATCATACAAAATTGCGTTGCAGCAAATCTTCTAAATTTTAAGGTATTCAGAACAGAGCAACATAAAAATCAGAAAAAGCAGCTATACAATTATAGGACAAAGTTTTACATATATGCCATTATAATTAGTGTTTTATTTTTTTAACTGTACGGAATTATAAAATAAAACGCAAATTATAATCGGTCAATTATAGTGATGAAAAAACGACTCGCCATCTCCTTATTGGATGTGCCTTTAGAGAGAAATGCAGCGATTACATAATGAAAGAGTTTATTTTATTAGGAGTCTATTTTTGATTTGAATTATTTCATTTTAAAGTAGTAATTTAAAGCTTTCTATATATTTTGATCATGTCTGAGTTTCGGTTCATCATTGTGAAGCACTCCTGCTCAAGCCCAAGATGGCAGAAAGCGGTTGTTTTCTTTATTTTATAAAAGCATAACGTTTTGTTGATATTGTGAGTGCACACAAATAAAAGTAGACTCTTTACAGTTTAGAATGTTGTATTACTCTTACCTTTATGAGCAAAAATTACGGAGTATTTTAAGTTGTTTCCATTTTTAGAAAAAAATGCAAGTGATCACGCCAACCTCCAACCTCCATGTCCTGCAGAGCACGCTTTAGCTTCCACTCCAAATGTTTTTCTAAATTTACTGGTACTACTAGATCTCAGTGCTGCATTTGACACTGTCAATCATAACATACTTCTAGAGAGACTGGAAAACTGGGTTGGGCTTTCTGGGATGGTACTCAAATGGTTCAGGTCATACTTAGAAGGGATAGGTTATTATGTGAGTATAGGAGAGCATAAGTCTAAGTGGACGTCCATGACATGCGGAGTCCCACAAGGCTTAATTCTTGCACCGCTCTTGTTTAGCCTGTGTATGCTCCTACTAAGTCAAATAATGAGAAAGAACCAAATTGCCTATCACAGCTATGCTGATGATACCCAGATTTACCTAGCATTATCACCAAATGACTACAGACCCATTGACTCCCTCTGCCAATGCACTGATGAAATTAACAGTTGGATGTGCCAACATTTTCTTCAGTTAAATAAGGAGAAAACTGAAGAAAATTGCATTTGAAAACAAAGATGAAGTTCTCAAGGTGAATGCATACCTTGACACTAGGGGTCAAACAATTAAAAATCAAGTAAAGAATCTTGGTGTGATTCTGGAGACAGACCTTAGTTTCAGTAGTCATGTCAAACCTAACAGACCACTCAGATCATTAGGATCGAGTCAGTTAGAAATACCAAGGGTTCACACAAAACATGGGTAATCTGCTTTTAGCTATTTTGCCGCCCGCAGTTGGAATCAGCTTCCAGAAGATATCAGATGTGCTAAAACATTAGTCACATTTAAATCTAGACTCAAAACTCATCTGTTTAGCTGTGCATTTATTGAATGAGCACTGTGCGATGTCCGAACTGATTGGCCTGTATTTTATGTATGTATTATCATTTTCTATTTTTAAATTAATTTTAAATCAATTTTTAAATCATCTTCAAAGTTTTTAAATTCCTTGTTTTATTTTTGTGATTATTTTTTTAAATTATTATTTTACTTTATTTTATGTAAAGCACTTTGAATTACCTTTGTGTACGAAATGTGCTGTATAAATAAACTTGCCTTGCCTAAATTGTGTACGTGAAAATATTACCTATAAAGCCACAGAGGAACTGTTGTGCATCTCCTAATAAAACACAATAGGTGTTGGACTTGAAGCAGCACTGTACATACCATTCTGTGTGTGACATAAAAGTACCACAAGAGCGATTAGACTGCATTTTTAAAATTGTTGTTTTGATGTCAAATAAGTCTTGCTGTTTTGCTTTTTTGTTAAAGCAGTGTTTCTGTTGTAAAATCATACAGCTACAGTTGAGTTGTTGGGTTTTAAAGCAGGTTTGATATTGTTTCTTCCTTATCACTCTGTATTTACAGGATTTCACTGTCCACTCTGTTCAAATGTGGTTGAATGGCTACACATAGATCTGTGCATGCACTGTCAGAGCTGTGTGAGATCACTACCATCCTGCTTTTGTGGGGGTGTTAAATATTAATTTTTGTTTTGTTTTTTCCCCATAGGTTTTTAACATTCTAAAAGCTCTTTATTCCAAAGATACTACAAGCTAGTCAGTGTATTCAGTAGCTGTAACGTATTCTAAGTTGCTTCAGAAGTATTGCAAGTATTACGTACAACAATAAAACATAAAAAGCATTGACATAAAAAAGGAAATTTACTTTTGCTGTTTAAGTACTTTTAAAAGCAAGTACTTCTGTACTTTACAACTTTTACTTGTAATGGAGTAATATTTGACCAGCAGTATCTGTACTTTCACTCATGTAATGGAGTTGAGTACTTTGTCCGCCTCTGCTTCTGACCGCTTCCTCTCTTTCATCGAGTCACGCGCATCGGTTCTGTTCGGAATCGTTTGACGGAAGCGCGGAACAGAGGTGAGCCGATATAGCGCAGCGCTGCCAGTCAAGACAAACCGATTTATGATTTATTATCGAATGACAAAAATTGAAATGATCACTTTGGTACATTGAGAAGGCATAAATATAAAATATTAATAATAATAATAATAACTAAAAAAAATAAATAATAAAAAACAGGGCAGCGGCCCAAATCAGCCGCCAGGCCACCGGGAATTCTCCCTGTGCTCCCGATGGCCAGTCCGGGCCTGTCCCCTGGGAATAGTAGGCCATCTTAGTATCTATGGGATACTCATTTCAACATACAGCACTTCAAATCTTTTTAGAGTTAATCTTACAAGGACTGGGAGCAAGGCTGCTTGGTACCAACCACAAGGTGTTTTGTGCAATGAAATACTGGCTGCCAAGGGCATCAAACTAACTATTTTAAAGAAACATTTAGAAACCAAAAAACACATTTTGCATATTGCTGGACTATGGTTTTAGGGTTATATTTATTAAAGTCTGAATTTAAGAAAATGTTTTACTTTTGAAAAATAAACTATTTAGGCACTTTCTTGTTTCACTGCTTGATGTCTAACGGACAGTTTGATCCAGAAGCAAAACAAGTGAGCTACCTGGCTCTAGGTCAGGGTTCCTCAAATCTTGCCCTGGAGGGCCAATGCGCTGCAGAGTTTAGCGCCAACCCTGATCAAACTCACCTACCTGTGATTTTCTAATGATCCTGAAGACATTGATTAGCAAGCTCAGGTGTGTTTGATTAGGGTTAGAGCTAAACTCTGCAGGAAAGTGGATCTTGTGGGCCAGATTTGAGGATCCCTGCTCTAGGTTGTACTCGTTTGGGGCATCCAAAACGTTTAATGAAACAGGTCTGGAAAATCATTAAGCTTGTCAAAAGGGGGTGGAGCTATTTTAACTTCCTGCTCTTGAAAAAGGCATCAGAGAAGTGTAGTAGTTATTCTGAAGGTTTAAAAAAAAAAATTAACAATGAGGCTGGTGGTTTTTAGTTGTGTTGGATAGTTGTTGCTTATTGCAGTTGACTTGAGTTTGGCACAGTGGTCAAGATTTCAACAAGGCCAGGATCCACTAAGATTCCAACAGCAACACAATGCACGGAAGCTTCAAGAACCTGGAAGTAGTCAGTCCAAACAGCTTATGCAGGCTCCTATGGTGCCTTTGATCTGGCATTTTCCAGTAATGCCAGAAGAACCCCAACAGCCAGATGTGCCTTTTGAGCCGTGTGTACCGCGGAGCAGCGGATCTAAATATGTATAATAAATTATAACTAGCTATGATTAATTATTCATATTTCCCCATGAGCTGATTTGCTACATGCATGTGGAGGTTAAGAAGGACATCTTTGGTACTGGTCAACTGGTGAATCCTTTATTTCTCACTTTAGGAGGCTGTGCAGCTATAGGGGAGAATCCAAAAACTGAAGTTCTTATATTTGAGTATGAGCTCCAGACATGTGACAGCACTCTGATGGTAAGTGGCTGCATATGTCAACTGTAGAATTTGTGTAAAAGTTAGTTCTGTCCAATAATTCACCACTTATACTGCTTTCAGATGACTGGTAATGAGCTTGTGTATACAGTCAACCTCCTCTATACTCCTGCGGCTGTAGTAGGAACTCCCATTGTAAGGGCTGATGTAGCAGCTGTTGGAATTGAGTGCCACTATTCAAGGTAGTAAACTACTTTGTCTAAGAATTTGACCAAAACTGACACTTAGTCCTCTTTTACTAATCCCAATAGGTTGTATAATGTAAGCAGCAATATCTTGTTGCCCGCTTGGGTTCTTTTTGCTGCAACTAAAGTTGCAGAGGAAGTTCTGGTGTTCTCCTTGAGGCTCATGACTGATAATATGTATTTAAGTGTTATAACCTTTATAAGTGACTAGGTAGTGTTGCCAATGTGACTTTCATTTCAGATGACTGGATGTTTGAGAGGCCATCCAATCAGTACTTCCTAGGGCAGTTCCTGAAGCTTGAAGCTTCTGTGAAACAGTACAACCATGTTCCTCTGCGAATCTTTGTGGATGGTTGTGTGGCTACTGCGGCCCCTGATGTGAACACCATCTCTCTAAGATATTCCTTTATTGAGAACCATGGGTTAGTAAAGAACCGCTCAAACTCCGTTGCAAACAGAGCCTAAAAGCCTTCTCTCGCCCCTTTCTCTTTAGGTGCCTGGTAGATGCAAAGCTTACAGGCTCCACTTCCAGTTTCATGCGTCGTATTCAGAGTGACAAGCTGCAGTTTCAGTTGGAGGCTTTCAGATTCCAGCAAGATGATAGTGGCTTGGTATTGTAATTTTGGCTGTAGTTCTGTGGGTGAGTTCTGAGTTGTTTTACTGATCATGTGTCGTTCTGTAGGTGTACTTCACCTGTGCTCAAGGCTGTCGTGGCCTCAACCCCCACATGTCCAGAGAACAAGGCTTGCTCCTTCATAAATAGATATGTTTTATTTTGCCCCATTTTCATTTGTGTAGTATTGTTAATAATGGGTAACCAGTTTTGTTTGACTTCTATAGATGGACTTCTGTAGACGACAATGACCAGGTGTGCATGTGCTGTGACTCCACGTGTGGTCTCGGCAGAAATGGACAAGCACTGTCTGAATCAGGTAACCTTTTTTTTCTAGAAAGTTTTTCGACTTTCTCACCTTGTCACTTGTTTTCAGGCCTGGTATCAGAAGGGAAAGCAACCATTGGCCCCATTGTGATTACTCACAGATGTATTGTGAGTGACGAAGTGCCAATAAAAGGTTTCGTATTGGCAAGTGTGTGTGGGTTTATTTTTATTTTTTCCCCCTTCCCTAAATCTGGTGATCAATTAACCATGGTCATCCCTCTAAAACAAACATTTTACAAACATGTATGTTTATTTAAAGTGCTTAGTGTATGAGTTCTATTAATACGGGTTTTTATAGAACAATTCTTAACCCCACCACAGACCTCACTAATTTTCAAACCCTGGTTACGGCCATTGTTAACAGGTTGCACATTTTACCACAACCTCACTTATCAGCTGAAGAGAGCCTCAATAGCATGGCCAGCAAGCATATTATGACCATGAGGGAGTTAATCAATGAAATGCTGCCCTGAAGAGTGAGTGGAGCACTTGCAGTAGTATTTGTAATGCTAAAATATAGTTATCCATGAATGTACTGTTTTACAAGGCAGAAAAAAAATAGTAAAGCACTTTTATATATATATATAATTATTTTTTTTTTAATTCAGGTGCCCAGTTACAGTCAATAAATAGTCTAATAAATTTGTTACGCATTGTGTGTTAGAGTGCCTGTCAAAGAGAAAACCCAAATGGGAATCTGTCAACTGGTTTAGCACTTAAAATATTGTCATTTATTAGGCAAATAACAAACTGAAACAACTAAATAGTCTTTATTCTCACACAATAACCAAAGCCCTTAATATTTTAATGGCCTCCTTTGGCCTTGATAACTGCTTGTATTCTTGCTGGCATTATGTACTTTTTCACAGTATCGGTTATTGACTGTAATTGGGCATCTGAATAAAATAAAGTCATTTTTAATATTTTTTTTCTGCCTTTCTTGTAAAACAGTAAATTCATGGATAATGATATTTTAGCATTAGAAATACTACTGTAACTAAAGAGCTTACATGTACTGGTGGAGTAACCATTACCGAAATACAAAAAATATATATAATTTTGGTAATCGCCAATATTGATATTTTAGGGCAGCTGTGGCACAAACCTTACATTGGGTGGTGGGTGGTTTAATAAATGTGTTAAGCACTGTACATTTTTTGCCAGATGGAGGTTGCCAGATCTGATGAGCTATTGGTAGGGTCAGAATTTGGTGTAAACATGAAAGCATGGATCCATTGTCCCCTTTTTCAACGGTTCAGGCGGGTAGAGGTGGTGTAATGTTGTGGGGGATATTTTCTTGGCACATTTTGTGATCTGCTCCTATTGGGGAGTTACAATACACATTTTTAATGAAAGAAATTTACTATAAAGTGTATTTTGGTGACATGCTTGATGCAGTGACCTATGGGAGAGCTTGAGGTGAATATTCAAGAACACATGCTAATCAGGAAGATTCCACCTCCTTTCTGGCCATTCAGCAATTTCCACAGGGTTACTGCACACCACACATTTCATGACATGATTCAAAACTCTTACAAAAAACAGAAGCAGAGAGTGCTACACGGGTGTCTTTACGTAGCCACTGGTGCTCGTTGGATGTGATGGAGGTAAACATCAAATTATGTAGACGAAATACTTCCAAGGCACTCACATGGTAAGATAAGCCTTTACTGAACTGGGCTTAAATCATTACAACTATAGTTAAAAGTAGATATTCGCGTTGACGCACATCAATTGCTCAAACAGGTATTCTTAAACTAGTGGTAATTAATGAATCATCAAAGACAGCTGGTTAACATGTAGGTTTGGCTAAGACTAGCTAACAAGACTGGCTAACATGATTCAAAACTATTTCAGTATCAGCAATCAAAATTCTTACCATATGTATTTACTGGCACAGAGTGAGTGCAGCTGAACAGGTTATTTAGATTCATTTTCTATGAGAGGTGAGTGGCAGGTTTTGTGGGATTGACAGGTTTTATGGAGCAAAAAGAGAGACCGTAAAAAAGTTGAAATAAATAGCCCAACCCCTGAAATACAGCCCCATACCATTATCACTCCTCCATTAAACCTTACAGTTGGCACAATGCATTCCGGCAGCTATCTTTCTCCTGGCATCTGCCAAATCCAGACTCGCCCCTTAATATTGCCAAACCGAGAAGCGTCATTAGTCACTCCACAGGACATGTTTCCCCTGCTCCAGAGTCCAGTTGTGGTGTGCTTTATTTTACACCACTCCATCTGACACTTGCCATTGTATGGTGATGCGAAGTTTGCATGCAGCTACGCAGTCATGGAAGCCCATTCCATGAAGCTTCCGCTGCACAGTTTTTGCGCTAATATGAATGCCAGTAGTATTTTGGAACTATTCAGCTATGGAATGGTGACTGAATTGGTGACTTTTAGGCACCATGCTCCTCAGCACTCGGTGACCTTGGTGACTTTACATAGTCATCCACATCTTGGCTGAGAAGCTGCTGCACCTAACCCTTGTGCACTCCTCATTTGGGAGTCACACTCATGGTCTTCGCGATCAAAAGTGACCGGACACCTGAAATGTAACTTTTTTTTCTTCAGTAAAATCAATCTAATATATTTTTGTTGTTTTAAATGTTGATTTGAAGTGTAGGTTTTTGCATTATTATTACTACATTCAAACCTGAATTCCCCCCCCCCCTCCCCCATTTCCCATTCATTTCCTATGGTTGGTCATTTTTGACCAAACACCATAAGTGTGACTATTTTTTTACGACCATTTAGCTTTTTCGAATCATGCCCTCAATTTTTTTTGTGTTCACATGCCAAGTGCCATAAAAGTCACCAAGTTTCGTACCATTCTGGTGAAGCTATGATTTTTAAAAATTCAAAATGTAAAATTCTCAGGTCAGAAATGACCGAAGACCGCACAAGCACCTAAACGCTTCCACTTTCCAATAATGACACTTACAGTTGACTCTAAAATATTTAGCAGGGATGAAATTTCAAGAACAGACTTATTGCAAATGTGGCATTATATCACAGTTTTGTCCATATAGTGTTTTTTGCGCCAGATTAAATAATATATTATTTTTTTTATATTATAAAGTAATAAAAACCAAAAACACTCCACACCAGAACCATATCCTGACATCACTGGATATCAAAGTCTATCAAACCTGAAGAACCCATCCATTAATATTCACATGTTTCTTAATGACAGTTGCTTGGCTGACACATAATCCATTTGGCAAAGCAAAATATCTACAAAATAATTCATTTTTGCCCCCATAATACAGTAGTAATAGCAACACAAATTGCGTAATGCATCACCATGGACTGTAGGCCATGTGGAAATAAACCACACAGTAAACTGACTTCTGAAGACACCTTTTTGTGTCTATTTAACAATTTATACAAAATAATGTATTTGAATTATATATCTTAATTGACATATCCCTGAATACAACATATTGCAATATACTGTATACAGGTATGTTCCACTACAAATATTTCTACATTGGCATCCACATAGTTTTCCTCAACTATATTTTTCTTTTCTTCTGCCTTTTTCTTGATACCTCTGCTGATCGATTTATCGGTCATGCGTTTTTTTTGCCCTGTTTTTGTTCATGTCAACTCCAGGTCATAACCAGAGTGCTGATCTCAGAGCCAACTGCCTGAGGTAAGGAAACCCTGCTGAGAATTTCTCCATTATGTCTCTCAGAGGAGAGGCTGAAAGTGAATTTATTGCACTGTGGATGTTTGTTAAAGTCAGTATTGCCACTGTGAAGAAATGTGGATGTACTGTAATGTGGAGAAAAAAATGCAGAGGCAAACTTGGTGTACTTAGTGACAGTACCTTTTATGGACAAGTTGTGTTTAAATAGATCATGTCTGGAATTTCTGACTACCCACATTTACATGGCAATGATGACTGTTTGATGCTCAGAATCTTGGTTGCCCACTCACGGTCTCGTAGTAAGGAGAACATAGGATGGATAGTGCTATTGCTGAAAATAACTAAGAACAAATTATGACTCCAGTACATACTGTATGTTTATGTAGGCTATGCACAACAACCACATTTAGAGAAAGAGAGAGACTGAGTTACAGAGTAAGGGATGTGCAGTGTTTCGGATATCCACCATTTGCGAATAAGTTGCGGTTTGTTGTCTTATGAGTCAAGTCAGTCAAGTCACCTTTATTTGTATAGCGCTGTATACAATACTGGTTGTGTCAAAGCAGCTTTACAGTGTTAAACAGGAAAATAGTTTGTCAATGATGCAAGAGACAATAACAAAGTTATTTTTCAGTTCAGTCAGTTCATTGTCGATTCAGTTATATCAACATCCAATTCAGTTCTCTTCCAATAGTGTCTGTGCAATCAGTCAAGCGTCCCCAGCTAAGCAAGCCAAAGGTGACAGTGGCAAGGAACCAATACTACATCGGTGACAGAAATGGAGAAAAAACCTTGGGAGAAACCAGGCTCAGTCGGGGGGCCAGTTCTCCTCTGGCCAGACAAAACCAGCATGGCATGGTTTAATTCCAGGCTGCAACACAGGTGCAGAGGACTCGTCTGGTTCCCGTGGTCTTGTGCCGATGGTCGTCGAGGTGACGAGGTCTTTGTAAGGGATCTGTATCTGGGGCGCATCCAGTTGACACGGTCTCCGCCGACATTCAGGGCTGAAGAGGTCGTCTCTAGGTGCTGATCCACCATCTGGACTGGATCTGGGTGGCTGCGGTGACCTCGGAATAAGAATGAAAGAGACTAATATTAGCGTAGATGCCATTCTTCTTATGATGTAACGAGTACATCGGATGTTATGGGAAGTGTTCCCGGTTCTGGTTGACCTAATGAATGCAGCCTAACAATCCTTTAACGGATTTGAATTATAGAAATGTGATAGTGTGTTATGTGTATGCCAGGTTAAAGAGAGTGAGAGATTTAATGAGCTAGGAAAGCTGTCCGTAAATCCCTCACTGAAGTGGAAAAATGTGCTTT